AGAGACAGGGACCTTATCTTATCATACTAGGTATCCTCTAGGCCTAAGCCTAGACCTTTTATCAGGCTAGATATCAACTAGACAGTTCTCATGTTATTATCCTGTCTCTTATACACATCTACTAAGTGAAAAATGGAGATCTAAATGAAGAAACGATGTATTTCAGCAAGTATTAAAACATTTTAGTTTTATTTTAGGCCTTCTTCAAAATACCTATGCCTACAGCAGATGGTTTTTTTGCCGTAAAACCAAAATAGTTTCATCCATGCCGACATTTCGGTCGGTTAGCATGAGCCCTGACTGAACTCTGCAGAAACTTCACATCGATCTTCGCATCGCGATGTAAAACAAAATGTCGGAAAACTTTTCTTTGACGCATGCGCATTTGCATAAATGTCTACACACACACATACACATTACACACAATAAAAATGTCTGAAAGCGCAATTTCCAGGCATCTAGAGGTGCCATAATCACAAATTTTCTTACCTCAGCCCCAACTGTGGTGAGGCTCAGGTAGTATAGATCCTCCATCTGTGAAAGTGAACTCTTAGATCCGCTACTGGAAATTACAACAATTATGAAGTGATATTAAACTTTAGCTTGATTGATCCCTATAAAATAACTAATAAAATTACTCAAATTTTGTCAAATATCCGTAGCTTCCAGGGGAATCCCCAGATCCCTCCTGGGGCCCCCCAGCCCAGATGCTCGCTTCGCTCGCATACTGGACCTTATGAAGTGTCCCCCCACCTCCCACTTTCATAAATGTTCAGCCGCCGTTGCAGCATTCATACTGTTTCGAAAGGAAAATTTGACTTTTTTGCTTATAAGTTGATTGTGGAGACATTCATTCATATTCATTTAGACCAAGTGGTTGCGGAGTTATAATCATCATATGTTGTATAAAGGTCATTGACCTTTGACCCTGAAAATTTGGTCAACGCACCTACTAGAAGGTGGCAAAAATGTTTTAATGATCCCAAAAACCTAGGTATAGCCACTATTTTTGTGCATCTTGGCAAACTGGTTGAGGAGTTTTGACCATCATAGTTGTATAAAGGTCATTGACCTTGAATATTTGGCCAATGCTACTACTAGAAGGCACCAAACATTTTCCATGATTGTTGACCCACAAAACCCAGGTGTAGATAATATTTTTGTGTTTTTTGAGCAAGTGGTTGAAGAGTTGTGACCCAGAACATGTTATATAAAGGTCATTGACCCTTGACCCTGAATATCCGGTCAACGCAACTATAAAAAGGCGGCAAATATTTTTTCATAACTATTTACATATAGACGTACAAGAATATACAAAAAGTCCTTTTATTAGAGTTTGTTTAAGGTCAAAGCATATTTAGCCTCTACTACTGTATATGTAAACAACTGTAGAGTTCATTTACAAACCTACATACTTTCATCATTAGAAGAAGGGGGAAGTTTGTGATGATAATATATTATGACAGCAAGTATTGTATAAGTATATTTCTTAAGCATTTTTTATCTTATCTTATATTCTTAGTATTGTAGCTTGAAGACTTCTGCATACCTTTAAGAAGGACCTGGTATTAACCACAATTTATTTGATTTTTTTGTACTGGAATCTGATCTCTGGGGTATTCCATGTTTATCATGATATGTAAACTTAGGCTTGAGTTATATGCACTGACCAATTGTATTAAAATGAGTGGTCACTACCCAGTCCGGTCCGTAGATTTTTGGATGGAACTAATGCCGTAGCAAGCTAGTGGGGCAGCTGGGACAGTCTTGCACAATTTTTCTAATGGGTCCACATTTAAGAATGGGTTCAAATTATGTAGTTGTATGCATAAAATGAGTTCACTCTTTGGAAAATTGGTCCAGATTTCTCATATTTAACCTAAAATGGGTAAAATTTTGTGCCGTTGACAAACTAAACAGAATCATCTAATTTAAAAGGACCAAACAGTTAACTTTCAAACAGAAACATAAAAAAAAAATAAGTTTTCACTGATTTACTGTCATTTTACTATAAAAAATATGTCATTTGTGACATTTGTGTTCACGACAGACAGTAATTATGTACTAGTTCCCTTTCCCATATCTTTATATTTCTTTTTTGGCCAGTATTTGCTTTGAATACTGTACCTACTGTATTGTACTCAAATACTGTCCTGTAGTGTCACTAATTTGGGATCTTTGCAACTACACTGGAGGAAGCTACAGTATGAATGATTTAATGCATAAGTTGCCAACTTACCCAATACCTTGCACTTAACTTTGTTTCACAGTTCTCATGTTGATGAAAAAATTTACTGAGTTTTCAAATATTCCTTTAGGGCATCTCTTATTCTTGAGGCTTCTTCAAGAGGACGTTCATGATGATGCTGCCCGAAATCCCTCAAATTTACACCTGAAAGCCAAGCTTGTTGGAAAGGATCTCCATTTCTTTCACAGATGTTGTGGAGAGTGCAACAGGCGTTTACAAGTGGGCGAATATAATCCAGTTGGTTGTAACTTGTCTTGTTAAAAATTTGCCAGCGTCCTTTCAGACGACTAAAGGTACGTTCAACAACAACGTGAGCTGATGAAATTTTCATATTGAACTGCATTTGATCATTTGTCAGGCGTTCAAGATCAGAATAACCCTTCATTAGGTTTGGTAATAAAGGGTATGGGGAGTCCCCAAGAATTAAAAGTGGAATTTCCTGCCCTTCCACTAATATTGTAGGATTTGGATTGAAAAGTGTTCTGCTACTCAATTTTCTGCTTAGTGATGACAGTGAAAACACACGTGCATCATGGACACTTCCTGGCTGGCCAACATCTGTGTTGATAAATTTTCCATCTGCATCTACTACAGCCTGAAGCACAACAGAGTAAAATTGGTTCTGATTAAAATAGTCCTCAGGTGAGTCCTTGGGTGGCTTGATTAAAACATGGCAACAATCAATAACTCCTGCTACTTGGGGAAACTTGCACTTGGTTCTGAATTGCTGTACAGTGTCCTACAAAAATGAAAGTGAGAACTTTCATAGCAACAACAAAATTAATAACATCAGAAATTAACAATTAAAAAAAAACGAATAATGTAAAAAGAATTATAATAGCACCTGAATGTAATGGGAGGCTAATCATTTGTCTTCTCAAATAAATTATGGAATTTGGCAGGATATAGGTGAAAATGTGTGTCCAGTCGACCTGTGGCTGCTGAAAAATCCTAGGGCACCTACAATAATTTGAAATATCAATTTGAAATAGTCAAAAAAATGTTTTAAAAATATATTTATCATATTATTATACACAGCTATTTGAAGCTTTAGGAAATTCAGGAAATTGTTTTTGATTTCAGGAACTGTGAAGTTGTTCTAGGGATTAGAAGTTGCTAACATTAACAATTGGAGATTGAAACAGTAGAACATAAATATTTAGGTACAATTCTTGACAGTAAACTCAATTGGAATGCCAACACACTACACATACAATAAGCAAATTATACCATTTTCATTCTTACCGAATATCTTTGAATACATGCCCTGCTCTGAATAAAAGCCCCTTCTAAAACCTCATTTGGAATAAACTCTTCCTCAAATAAATGTCCTGAGTGTTTATTTTTTCCTTGAGTAAATGTACCCCCACCTCCCCAAAATGACTGTAAACAAATCTAATGGAAGCAACATCATTTTCAACCCATTCTATTAGTGTTCTGCTCCTGTAGAATTACATTTTTTCTAACCTAGTTCAGATCTATGTCTTTTTGATAATGCAATATTCGTTTTGATGGTAATTATGTGTCGTAGTTCTACAGTTATAATGAAATTAAGGGGCACTTATTTGAGCATATGCATGCATATTCATTTTACGCTCCTCTCGAATAAACGCCTCCGCAAAAACCCCTCTCAACAATAAATGTCCCAGAACATTTGAGGCATGTCGTGGCAAAATGGCTAAGTTGTAGCAAAAATTGAAATTCAAGTTATTGATATTTTCAGATACCTGAATATGTGATCTTTAAAATGAGAGGTTATTCATTGAAATTGGACATTTCAAGCTTAAGTTATTGGAAAGTGAAAGTACAGCACTCTTTAGAGTCAAGATAAATATGATTTTGAGTAATTGCATACATTGTTTATTAAATAGAATTAACTATATAAATAACATTAAATAAACGATTTGTTGACCCCTTTCAGAACTAATACTTTGGGACATGATTAATAAGACATTAAACTGTTGATCTATAGTGAAAAAAAATTTAGATTTTTAGGCAATTTTTTGAGCTCCCATATTTTATAGCTCATTTACTCAATACTGGCCTGTGCGACAACTTAACCATTTTGCCACAACATGCCTCATTTATATGCGAATAATGGTAAATCAATCCAGGTTAGCAATGAAAGTATGCTTCTTTTCTTGTGTAATTTTCAGTGTTCTTTTTTTTAACGACTGTATGGTTTGGTATCTTTCTTTCTTTTACATTCATTTGAATATAGTGCACCACTCAGTTTTTTCAAAGAACCAAATAACAATCGTCAATCTTTTAACACAAAACTAAACCATCTACAAAATTTGCAGGTCCAAAAGTGGTCTTGAATTGGATTGTACAGTATTGAAATTCAGGAAGTAAATGCTAAAACTTCTTACCAGCAAGTCCTGACCCTCTGGAAAACGAATATATTTTGGCATCAAATGAGTCTCTATTGCTCGGCATGTTTCATTTACAATACTACACACCGTTGAGCGTCCCACTCCAAATTGTTGTCCAAGGCTGCGATACTCTATGTTTGTCGCTAGTCTCCATAAAGTAATTGCTAACCTATGCTCTACAGTAATAGGTGTTCTCATTTGAGTAACTTCTTTTTCAATGAATGGACGCAGCTGTTCGGCAATATCCATAAATGTGCTTCTAGTCATTCTGGAAATAAATGATCATTTAAAATACAAGCATGATCATAAAAAACTTCAATGAAACAATATTCCATGTTGAAAATTGTTAACATGTACTAAGAGAAACTATGACAATGCCAAAAATTATGTAAATTTATTTCAGCTAACAGAATTTCAGAGCGCAACAGTAAACCTGAACTTGCACTGTTGTGTAAGGTAAATACTGTAAGGACCAAAACAAGTTCATCTGGTCCAATCTAGTCAAGGACTCATGGTCACAAAGTTTTAGAAGGTTTCGCTGTTATTTTTTTGATTACTTTTTTATTTCTTTATATTCGATTAAGTGAATATACCATTTGCTTGTAGTATTGTCAAGGTACTTTAGCCCAAAAATATAAGGCACGTCAGGACACTGATTTCAAGACAGTTTCTGACAGTGAACGTACAGTATGTTTACTATTATTGAAAGTTTTAGCAGAGCTATCATGACGGGGGAAATTATTCCAAATGCGGGTCACAGCAGGCTACTTGCAATCCTGCCGCAAAGAAACAAAAACTAGCAAACGTTCTCAAGAAAGTGGGAAGAAAATCATCCATTATTAAAAATATGTTGCAAACGAGGGCATCTATTGCACATATTGCCAGAAGTTTGACTAGAGACCATATGGTCAAACTACATGGAATAAAATACCAAGTACAAGAAACAGACTACAAACTATAAAGGAGAATGAAGAGATAGTACAACACAAAGATTGAAGATTTTTTTCAATTTCATCTTTTTATCCCTGCATATATTTCATTATAAATTTTATGTTATCCTAAATTTTATGAATTTTATCATAAAACCTATGAATTTTACCATAAATTTCATGAATTTTAGTAATTTTATCATAAATTTTATGAATATTATTTGTATTAATTTTATGAACTGTATCACAAATTTTATATATTTTATTACATAATCGTACCTTTACTCCTAAACTTTCTGCCTCTGTTGTTGTCATTCAACATGTTAACAAAATTGGTTGCCCTGGAAATACCACCCCCAAACCCATTAAATTAGTGTCCTTGGTCATTGGTTTGCTTGCTTTTTAAATTCTTCCAATAGATTTTTATGTTAGGTTAGGTTGTCTTGTCTTCTTTAGTTGTGAATTTGTGTGATTATATTATTTTATTGGTTAAACAATTTTACTACTGTATTTTTTGGTCATTTTACAAGCTCATAGTAACTTCATGAATGTCCTTTTCATCTTTTAACAATTTTTTTTTGTAAATTACACAAATCAGTAGTGATGTTGGCAGTCTATGAGTGGATACTTAGGTGGATAAACCAACTAATTGCCTAATCTCTCCCAAACCCGTTTCTGTCGTTGGGGATAATTTTTAGATCGCGCCTAATAACATTAAAGAAAAGAATAGTTTGTTGTAAAACAAAATCAATAAAATTTAGGCTTCATAAAAACGAGCATTCTCCTGGCCTACACAAACTCCACTTCTTTCCAATTTCAACACTAACATTGTGAGAGACTGTCAGTCACGTACTGCTAATTTGCATACTATTATGCGAGAAAACATCTCTTATTTTATTCAATTCAAAATATATTCCCCAAAATTTAGTTTTTTCACATTATATTTTAAAAGATTCTATAAATGTATTTATTTGTATTCTAGTGGCATTAATTCGTCGCTCACATCCCGAACTAACACAATCAAAGTAGATTGTGTTAGCTCGTGAAATAAAAAAAGCGCGTCAAAATACACACTGTTGTTGTTAAGGACTTTTTGTGTGGTAAAGAATACAAAATTGCTTGACAACCAATACGCACTCGTTTTGACGCGCTACTATGATTTCACGAACTAATTCGTGATGTGAGCGACGAATTATACAAGTAATATAAGCAGAGCAAGAAGTTACTAATCAGATCCAGTGTTGATTTTTAGGCCTTCTAGGGCCTAGGCCCACTGGCCTAAATAAATCTGAAATAATACTTTGGTAGGTAGGGAATAGGTCCTAGGCTAGGCTAGGTAGGCCTAAATACGAATGCATGTAGGATACTGTAGGATCACCGAGGTGGTAGGACTTGGAAGAAGAATTCTGGACATCAATTCATCACAATGATGAAAAACATTGATATACTGTGTAATCGATACACAGACAGCATCTCCAGACATGCCAATGCTGTGTGTTTTAGCTTCTTTTTTGAAGGAAGCTCAACCCTACTACTAACTACTACTACTGTAGTTTTTCGAGCACTGCCTAGGCCTACATCCACATCGCTCTCATTGGACAGATTTTATTACTTGTGCACTTTACTAGACTGTTGTTCTTACAAAATCAGTAGACCATGGAGCGTTTTACAGTTCAGAGTGCAGTGCAACTCTGTCAGCGATTTGGTGATTGGTTTTTTTTCTAAATCAGTGGAACAAGTGGCACAAATTACTTTTTTGTATCAGTTCAGAGCACTGTTAAGGACGAAATTAACTGGTCTTGTTCTTATCTAAATCATAGGATTTAATTTTTTGGAAATGCATAATTTAGTTCAGCTGGCCGCAATGCGTAAAAAGCGGAGATTTTTAACCCGAAATCGGAGTGCCGAGTTTTGCTTAAATAAACGGAGCAACTCTGCCGAAATTTGAGTGGTTGGCATATCTGCATCTCTGGGACAGTTGGGAAACATGGGCACATCATACAGATGCACTTCGCTATTGGTTAAAATCTGCTGCCGGATCTTTACACCTGAACGACAAAGGATCTGGTGCTGGACCTCTACCCACAGTATTTTTAATTAGGCTAGAAAGAACTCCTGAGCTTCAAGAGCCCCTGGACTCCAAGCCTTGCTTATTTTGCAATTCGTTCCCCACTTTCAACATAGATCAATGCCCTTGCAAATAGACACCCCCTTGCCTGTCAAGGCTAGGCTAGCTAGAAGCACATCCATGTGAGGGCGCTTGTCAAAATCCTGAATAGGAAAGTGTTACCATATCGGGAAAAAAATCGGGATTACATGGGGCCTTTTCCTGGACTCTAAGAGTATTACCAGAGATCCCAATTCTCCCGAGAATTGCGGGTTTCTCCCGATTTTTGAGGCCGTCTCCCGCCCTCCCGATTTTTATTAATATCTCCCGATTTTTTTTAATATCCCGAAAATTTCACGAAAAACGTGATTTCCACGATGTCATAGAGCAATGAAACATTACACACTGTTTCTTCTGTATTTTCTTCAAGCACTAGTTACAGGCTATACACTTAATTTTTTTCAGTTAGCACAGACTCTTAAATTTTGAGGTATGGGGGAACGAAAATACAAAAATGAGCAAAAATAACAATTGTCCCAACACCCGAAATTGAAATTTTCTCACGAATTAAAATTTTGGTGCATTATTACCTTTATATGAACAATAATGAACATTATCATCATTTAAATGAAAATTAAGAATACCACATCTTCCCTCACCCAATCCCCTACTACTCCACCCAATCCCCTACCACTTCACCCCTTTCCCTACCTACTCTGCCCAATGCAATATTAAAAGATGGGCTTAGGACTACTAGCAGCTGTTTATATACACCCCCTACCAAACCTCTTCCCCCACGCAACAGTAAAATTGGGTTCAGGACTGGCACCTGTTCAACCCCAACCCCCTCCCTTACCCCTGCTTGTGTGATAATCAAATTTGGCTCTAGATGGGAATTATTCACCCCCCCCCCACCCGTGCGACAGTAGAATTGGGCTCTTTGCTGGCACCTGTTTATATACTATATACAACTTCCATCCCCACCCTCACCTCCCCGCGCAGCGCCTTTATATACAATCAGTATAAACATGGAGTACAACAGTTCAACCTGTTAGGAAATGGTACATTCCATTTTTCAATACAGTAGTTAATTTGCCATAGCTTAACAGGTCGTTCCATTATAATAAAACAGGTACTCTACCTTTTGAGTAGGGCAGTTCCATATTATATGGACGTACATATCAGAGAACTTAAAGCCTTCAATACAGGCCAATGGGTTTGGTTTACTTTTGATATGGACATCTCAGGTACACCAACTAAGGCCTATAACCATGAAAACTATCAGCCCTCTATCTTTTATAATTTATGAGTAATGTTCAAAAATAGCTGGTTATGGACGTACGCAGAGAAAATGACTTTTCAAACTTACATTAAACATTTTAAAAACTTTGTGAAGTATGAGGTCTAAAAAAATTAATAAAAATATGTGTATACAATGGACTTAAAGCTTCCTAATATAATTTAACTAGTCTCATTTATTGATTGTACATAGGTTTTACGTTCATTTTCTTGTGGTTATGGACGTACACACTCATCTTCTCTGCGTACGTCCATAACCAGCTATTTTTAGAACATTACTCATAAAACTAGAGGGCAGATAATTGTCATGGTTATAGTAAAAGTTGATAAAGAACATCAGTAGATTTTTAGTTTCCACACTGTTTACAAAATGTTCTGTGGTAACACAATTCACATTTTAGGTTTTAGTTATGGACGTACGGTTATGGACGTACATAAATTATAGCGTAAATATCGACTTTAAAATCGGAGATCAAATTTTTTTTTTTTAGATGATTATACTTGGGACCTAAAACCTGCTTTGCAAATATTTGTTGGTATTATACAGAAAAAATGTTAATACCTGATATTTTTAAAAAATGAAATTTTGGTTATGGACGTACAAAAAAAATTAATCTAATTAAAATTGAATTAATGCAAACTCCGACAATTATTTCATTTTGTTACAGTCTGGCAGATATTTTAGTACACTTTGATATAAAATAATAATTTATCATAAATGAAGTGTTTAACTTGTTTTATACAGTTATGTGTTAACTTACATGTTTTTTTTGGTAAAATGCATAAATTTGATACTCTTAACTTTAATATATATAAAAATTGATGTCAAATTATTTGTACCAGAAATTATATAGTACAAGCTTCAAAATGACACCTCACTTGGGTGCAGTAAATATGAAAATTTGATGACGAGGTTGACCTTTTGGTGGTACTGCCCAGT